TTTGATCTTGTGTTGTTTGTGTGATGGATGTAGAGAGCTGTTCAGTAACATTTTAATAGTTTAATAATACAGTTATTTCCTTGTGGTTTGTGTAAAAGGACTTTGAATCTAATATAGTCATGTTTGACATAAACTCAGTGACGCAGGTTCATACTTGTGTACCAAATCTACGTTGTTATAGTGTTATTGTGACGTAATTGATAGCGCATATATTCACCTGAGAAATGATGATGGCTCATGGTGTTACAGACCTAGGTTGTGTGCACTGAAGTGCATATGGCAGTAAAATCATGAATCTCAACTATCTATTTATTTATTTGTATTTTAAATAGGCCTATAGGCTCAGAGGTCTTTTGTCCAAAAAGAAAACAAAACAAATTTTCACAGCACCCAGCAACCCTTTTTTGTGGATTTCCTGATAGTAAAGAATTGCAATAATCCAGCCTTGAAGTAAAAAATGCATGGACTTCATTCATCTCCCTTCTTCCTTTACTTCCAGTACCACCATTGTCCAGGCCTTGGGTGAAAGACATTTCCATCATAATATATCTGCCCATACTATCATCATCATTAGCAATGCTAACCTCTATGTCTTCCTCTGGGGTGTGCTAAAAACATAAATTCATGTCAACAAACTCTCTGACTGCCTACTTGGGAATAGGTGAATAGGTAGTGGTCCTAAAATCCAAGGGAAAATGCTAAGATAAGTATTCACCTATCTTATTATTATTAGCTGGGTAAGGGTAAGGAGGAGGAACCAAGTTTATCATCACAAGATGACTGTATACAAATATGCAATACAGTATATCTCTCTGAGGACCTATATATGTTTTAGTCAAATTATAAAGTGTGAATGTTTAAAAAACTGATTTTATTTAGATTACGTTGAAATTATTTTAACTGAATTTAATCTAAAAGCTTGCAATGGTTAGAATTGTTTATAGGAAAGAAAGCTGAGTAAAGCATTAGCAGCAAATAAACATTTTACTTGCTCTAAAAAACTGAGCAGTTTCCAAACAGAGATCATGATGCAAACCATGATAAACCTGATGCATCACTGTTATGTCTGAAACTGAAAACATCCTGTTCATTTGCTTGACACAGATGTAGAAACAAGAAAGTGCTTTAAAGGGTTTATTGCAACACTAAAGACAGCGAACAAGACAGTGTTATGAACTGAGCTCGTGTACGAACACGGTCGATTCAGTTTACTGGAATAATCACATACTTGACGTATTCACCCCCATGATGAAATCTCAGGATGTTCATTACTAATCTTCCATAAAAAATAAAAATCATTAGCTTTAGACAAGTTAATACAATCTTCTTTTCTTACTGGCTGAGTGGAACAGAAAATGCAATCATTTCAGCTGGACTGTTTTTTCTTGTCTTTTTGATTAAGCTTTTCATCTCTTAAACTTCCTTCTTGTGTCATATTATATTTCCTGGAAATTCGATGAGCAAACCCTGTACCACAGAGAGCAGCTGTTCTTGCTGCCAACAGTCTGATGAACCTTCAAACAAGTTCCGATATAAGTATAGATGCATGATTGGCGGATCTAGAAAAATATTTATGGGGTGGCGAGAGGGGGGCAGGAATTTTTTAGGGGTGGCAACATATGGCATTTGTTTACACTGAATTTAATCAGTTATCACAGTTTGGTGAGAATAGTATGTACAGTACTAGTGTTTCATGTGAAACAGTTCATATAAATAATACATTGTACAATGAGATCTCACTTAATAGGAGATAGAATGATAACACTACTTCTAGAGGGGCCTTATGACAGGAAAGGTATGAAGGTAAGACACAGGTGCTGAGTCGCAGATGTGTGAGATTGACTGTCAGAGAGGCAGCTTTGCAGCATTTGCACAAGAGGAAACTATAGAAAGAAAAAGTTACCTATCAGAGATCTATGGACTGAGCTGTACTACAGTGAGCAGAACTACACAGTAGAAATAAATGGGTCAAGGCACCCAAACAAGGTACCAGACATCTATGTAATGTTTACTCTGAACACACATTTACCCCATTTGTTCCTCAGTAACTTGACATACAGCAGTTAAGGCAGTGGTTCTCAAACTTTTTCTGTCATTCCCCACTTTGGACAAGAGGGAATTTTCAAGCCCCGCCTGTCCCCATCGCCCCAACACTATGCTAATGAAATATGCAACAATCTTAAAATGTTCCAATTTTATTGAAGTAACAAGTAGTATCTAAATACAAACTATCTACATCAAATAACAGCAAGCTCAAAAATAAAGAAAATAAAAATGCAGCTGTGTCAAAATTTGTATCAAGCTCAAAGATAGAAAAAATTAAAGTGCCACTCTGCAATCTGTTAATAAAAGAAAAGAAGTGAAATCCATCTGGCAAGACATGTCTATTTATCCCTGCATCAGTGGCTGCAATGAGCCTGTTTTGCATTGCACAGTTTCTCAAAACGGGGTTGCAGGCTTGATACTGCCACTCTCAAGTCATGCTTTGTTTTCAGTGAAGCAACAGCTGAAAAGCCCATCTCACAGAGATATGATGTGGCAAAGGGAAGAAGAATGCACACAGCTCTCTGCCCGATGAGTGGATACTCCCTCTCCACTCCAAACCAGAATTCACTATGAGTCTGAGCATTAAACCTGAGCCTCAGGGTGGAGTCAGACGTCATTTCAATAAACTGGTCCTATTTATTTAAGATAAAATATTTCAAATTCAGTTATTTATGATCAACCTGCGCCGTCAATCCCGGCGCACGTGCGCTTTATTTGCAGTCTGGACGCTGAGGGTAAACATGCTGTGTCTCTGCAGCGCTGAGAGGGACTCCTGCGATAGCGGGGGAGAACGGGGTTGGGAGGGAGGAGACGCCCCACGGCAGCACCTGCCGCTGGAGGACAAGAAAAGGAACGATACGTGCTTTCACGTAAGAGTCTCCAAAAGTCGCTAATTTGTCGCTAGTCGCTTTTTTGATAAAGAGTCGCTGGAGGGGTCTGAAATATAGCGACAAAGTCGCTGAGTTGGCAACACTGGGGCGCGAAAGTTTATTCCGTTACAAATAATATGCCGACGTCACGTCAATCATTATTTTGGCACTTCAGTTCCAGGTGAAATTTTTCTAATGTTCTTTTAATTAGACTGCATGTAGGCTAGTAATGATTACTTTGTGGGTTTGATTGGTCTAAAAAGCGGCAACATACAGCTATAAGGACAGTTTGCTCTCACACGTTCTACATTTATAGTCACACACACACACACACACACACACACACACACACACACACACACACACACACCGGAACTTGGCGCGCCCCACCTGTCACGTCTCAATTCCCCACCAGTGGGTCGCGCCACACACTTTGAGAACCACGGAGTTAAGGCATCATGAAAGGGACATTTCATGCATGTTAATATGCTGTAGATAGAGCTGTATATGGAGGACCAACTCTGCCATATTTAAAAATAAATACAGAAATAAATAAATGCTCAATAAATAAATAAGCATACAATTAATTGCCACCAAAAATACAATCAACAAATAAATGTAATTAGAAATTATATTATAATGGCAGCCAGAAATGTAAAAAGGGCAGGCAGAAAGAAATAGCGGCGAAGAAATAACTAGGGTAAAAAAATACAAAGGAAGAATAAAACAGGCAAAAATATGATAACATGCACATAAGTAAATACTTAAAAATATAAGTAATTAAAAAATGAAGTTGAAGATAATAAATGACAAAAAAATAAATAAGGTAAATATTAAAAAGGCAAAGAAATAAAGAAGCCAATTAAAAAAGTTATATACCTTTATGACTAGCTGTATAATATAATTTCTAATTACATTTATTTGTTGTTTGTATTTTTGGTGGCAATTAATTGTATGCTTATTTATTTATTAAGCATTTATTTATTTCTGTATTTATTTTTAAATATGGCAGAGTTGGTAATTATTATTATCAATTAAGTTGATAATTGGTCCTCCATACTGCTGTATCAACAAATCAACAAAAAGGCAGGTACTGTATTTTACATCAAAATCTCCACAAATCTGAAAAGAAGCAACATAAAAAATACATTTTGCTTGTGAGTAGGTTCATACGGGTCATTTCTGGATAGTTTCATATTATATATACAAAAAAGAAACAACAACACTGCTTCATATTAAGCAGGATTCACACCAGTATCACATTTTGAACTTTTAACACTTTTGTTTTTTTTAAAGGAAATATCAGATTTTCTCAGGTACCAAAACAAAATGTAACAGCTCTGTAAAGGCTCACCAGAGAGCAAAACATAAAGTTAACATGACTATAACAGCTGAATGCAGCGATTTCCATGTTGCTCAGCAAAACGCTTCACAACTTTATTTAGATCCAATGCCTTTGTGCGTTTTGATTTGAGTACAACCATACTTGATAGTCTCTTTTCTGTCATAGTTGACCGCAAATATGTCTTTCTGAACCTGAGACGTCAGGCCTAACTGACATCATAGATAGAGAAATAATGTTCTGCAACCTGATTTTTATCATCTCAAAATCAACATTGCAGCTACGCTAGCAACATTGTGCTTTCATTATGATTTCATTTCTCTATAGATAGTTAATCAGTTTTTACCAGTTTCATCCCGTGTCTCCTCTCCCCATCACCCCTGGCTCCCTCGCTTTGCCCCATTCGGTTTTCAAAACAATCAGTTTTAGTCGCGTCATCTCGTGCTGCATTCACTGCAGTCCGACATTGGAAATTAGCGGTCGTAATTCTCAAATGATCCATAATTTATAAGCCTCGCCACCCCTACCGCCAACTGGGGTGGCAAGGCTGTCATTTAGGGTGGCATATGCCACCCCAGTAGATCCGCCTATGGATGCATCATTCGGCAAAATCAAAATAAAGAGGAAATTAAATGAGTAAGAGTAACAAGAACGACATTGCAATCCATCTAGTTCACGCTATTTTCCTGTGGTCAATGGATTTCCCCTCACATGACCGTTCTTACCCAATACATTAAGTTTAGTCACTCATCACACAGTCGGCAGAGAACGCATAGAGAGCCAGTGAGTTCAAGCAGGGTGGAGAGAAGGAGGAAATTCTTGACAGAGGATTTATGGTTGCAAATAAAAAGAAAATATATATTTTCAAGGTGAGTTTCATCCAAATTATTCCATATGACCTTAACTGAAAAAGTTTGAAGGAAATTTATTTACGTATGGCTGTTTAGTCCTCAATATGTATCTTTCTTAGTCTTTAATATTAAAAAAAGTATAAATGCTATTGAATTTGTAAAGGTTTATTATTATTTAATACTTAATTGGTTTATTCCACATCCATGTTATAGAAGCTATTATTGAGAGCCTTACATTATGTTTATTTTGAGAAAATTCTTATGTTTAGGTGATGTACTGGAATATTGTAATTGTTTTTTCAAAATTGGTCCAATTTAATAATTCTAAAAAGAGGAAAGATCTGTACTTTAAAGATTTAAAAACTCATTGCACAACTATTGCAGCATTAACTGACATTCTTAACACATGTTTCCTTTCCTCCCTTTCCTTCTATAACAGCTTTGAAGGGTTTAATGGTTGCTGAAGCCATTTCTTAGAGGAATAAGGAATTTGGATCCATTATGAACATCACGACTGCTAGCCCCTTCCAGCAGACCTCTTCCTCTGGCTCCACACCCCTTCCCATTAGCATCTCTGCTCGCATTGGCATTGCCATCCTGATTCTGGCGTTCGTGCTGGGCTTCCCTGGGAACATGTTTGTCATTTGGTCGGTGCTCTGCAGGGTGAAGAAGCGCTCAGTGACGTGCCTGTTGGTGCTGAATCTGGCTGTGGCTGATGGCTTCGTGCTGCTCAGTTCCCCCTTGTTCCTTCGGTTCCTGGCAGGAGGGAAGGGCTGGGAGTTTGGCTCCGCTGCATGTAAACTGGTGCATTACCTGTCCAGTGTGAACATGTATGTGTCCATTTACCTCATTAGTCTGATGAGCATGGACCGCTGGCTGGCTGTTACTAAACCCTTTGTGTCCCAGAGAATGAGAACCAAGCAGTCCCTGCTGTTTCTTCTGCTCGGTGTCTGGGTATTGGCTTTTGTCCTGTCCATACCAATGGCTTTCTACCGCAGGTAAGACAATCACTCACAAAGGTTTTAATTAAAGTTTCTCTTGTAACTAGAGATTTAGTTTTCTTTTCTTTTTTTTTCTTTTTTTTAATTTCTAATTCTTTTTATCCACCTTCCCTTTGATAATAAAGTTCATAAGCTCCAAAACTTCTACAGAGTTCCTCGCTAGAAACTGGACAATTGAATGTTGGTTTTTTTACGATTCAATAAGAATTTTTGTGAAGTTATTCCCAAAGTGGTTTTACGGCTTTCAAATTTAGATAAAAGTAAAATTCTAACACTTACACCATCTTCGTACAAGAAGTAATAATCACATTTTGGAGTGACAAGGCCAGAGTCGTGACTTTAATCTGATAAAGAATCTACAGATGGAGCAAAAAACTAGGGTAAGGGGCCTTGCAGAGGTCATGAGTTCAAGGGCTCATTACCAAACAAACATGATTAAATTACGGTTGAACATATAAAAGCTACTCAGTAATTAGAGGAAGGGCTGGTGCACTAATGCGGATAAAGATTTGTGCATTGTTAAATGAGATAATCGTTGACATTCAGTTTTGAAAAAATATTCTGTCTCATTTCAAAACAGCACCAAATCTAACTAAATCTGCTACAGGTTTGAATCATTTTGGAGTTAACTTGTTCACTTTTCGTTCGCAACTATAAAACAAACAGTTATAACTAAACCAATTCTAATTATATAGTGTAACTTGGAGCTATTATATAAAAGCAAACATTAGATTAAACAAAAGAATTTCTGAATTAAGGTTATATTGATTTAAATTAAAAGCATAACCCAACATAGAACACCTTTTCCTCTATGTCTTAAGTCAATCCTTGCAGAAATAAACAAACAAAATCTGTCAGCTTCCTCTTTGTTTGCATCAAAACCTTGCTACCACCTTAAAAGGGTATCCAGTTTTTGAATCAACACTACTATTAGGCCCCAGCAGTAAAAAGAGAAAGTCATTTAATTTCAAATGCTTATTATTCCCCTGAAAAATAAATTAACTTTTGTAAGACCAAACAAATAAAAAACAAAATTTAGAGAGTTTCATGGCCACGGGAAGTGGGCCTAGTGGCGAGAGGGAGATAAAAAAATAAATAAATAAATAAATATATATATATATATATATATATATATATATATAATATATATATATATATATATATATATATATATATATATATTAGGGGTGGAACGGTTCACAAAATCCACGGTTCGGTTCGGTTCACGGTTTCGTGGTCACGGTTTTCGGTTCGGTTCGGTATGTTTATTGTTACACCGAAAAATAAAAAAAATTATAAAAATTTATGAAAAATAAAAATTTATAAAATTAATGAAAAAAATCCCAAAAAATTAATGAATTGTAATTATTTTTAATGATCCGCGGAAACCCTGGATCATTTCCACATGTTTTGCTGCTTTGAATTGAATCATCTCGCGCATGCCCTCTACCATCTCCAAGGAACTCAGAGCGGAGCGGACGGGAGCCACAGTGGAGGCTGTAGGCTTTGCTTTGTGCAGGTGGTCTGGAGTGCAGCGGAGCGCTGACGGAGATTTCGGGGTTAGCATTACATGTTGGTCATGTTGCTGTTAGCATAAACAAAACGGGTTGCACAATGCTTGCACACTGTTGCCGTCATCGTAGGTCACTCTAAATGCAAAGTGGTCCCATACAGCAGACCTATAAAGTGCTGCTGGCGCGTCTTCAACTCTTCTCCACAACAACTGATTTTTTTCTGCTACACCCGGCTACACTGCTTTGCTTCTTCTTCTTCTTGTTTACTACTGGTGGTTGGCTTTGGTCGCAGTACCGCCACCTTCTGCTCTGGAGTGTAAACGCTTCGCCTATGAGAAAAAGGAGCAGCGCATGAACCGAACGGTTTTCAAAAACCGTTCCATCCCTAATATATATATATATATATATATATAAAATACTTTGCACAGTTTATAAATTACTTTAAAATATTTTGGAAAATGAGTTTGACTTTATTTATTTTAATATTATGTGCATTTCGATTTTTATTTAATTATTTTGAAGCCTAATAAACATGGAAGTTAGGTTGTAAGCGCAATGTCATGTAAGCTAGTGGTCACCTAAGAGGTAACCCACACACGGAAGCAGACTAGTAAATGTACATAGTCTAATGATAGAAACAAGGAGGAAATATGGCACAGAAACGCTTTCTCAATTCAAAAAGTCATGAATAGCGTTGACTCTGAGGTTTTATACAGTAGCCCATCAAAGCCTTGTTTGTGTTTAGAAAACATGCAAATTGAAAACGGACAAATGGGTCCAAACGGGGGGACTTGTTAGTTTGAAACAAAGTCCAGTGGATTGTTTTTTAACTTTTTTGGAATGACCAAGACCTGGATGACTGAGAATCTTCACCAGCATACAGAACTGTTCAATAACATTTAACATAGTATAATAATATAGTTATTTCCTTGTGGTTTGCATAAAAGGATTTTGGAGCTTTAGAGTCACATCTGACTCTAACACAGTGACTCAGGTTCATGCCAGTTGACCAAATCTACGTTGTTATAGTGTTATTGTGAAGTTTAATTAACAGCGCATATATTCAATTATGAACTGATGATGTCTGTGCGTTACAGACCCTGGTTGTGTGCACTGAAGTGTATATGACAATAAATTAGTGAATTTCAATTTAATTATTTAATTTTTTTTTCTTTCGTTCTTCATTATTTAATTGAATTGTACTTTTAAAAGGCCTATAGGCTCACAGGTCTTCTGTCCAAAAAAAAAAAAAAAACTACAGTAAATACATTTTCACAGCACCCCTTTTCAAAATTACTTCCAGCGGCCCTGGATAGCTTTTCGCTATTACAAAAGGTACCTATTTAATGGATTTTAAAATTCACATGTTCAAGCAGCTCTAGAATGCTCCCAAAAATGAAAGAGAATGAAATATAGGTAGTATAGATCTGAAACACTGGTAGAACTCCTTAAATCATGAAAAAAATAGAGGTGGGATAAATGAAATATTGGCTAAGCAGGAAATCAACCATTTGGTCAAGGTTATATTAAATATTTCAGACTCTAAAAATTATTGGGATTTTAACGTATTAAAATCTTGAGTTTTCGTTTATGTTTGGTGGTGCCAGGTCTCAAAGTTGTCGACAAGATTTCGATATGCTGTAATTTTTACAGAGAAAAGTACTCTATTTGGGCATGTAACACATTAATACGTTAAACATGCAGATGAGGAGTACTTTATGTGTGTAGTAAAGCTCCTTGTAGGAATATTTATCGTGTTTGTGCACTTTGGCAGACTCTTGACGCCATATACTCCAAATCTTCTGCAAAGGGAACACTCTTCAGCAAACTGTCATATGTATTTGGTGACATCACTTTACAGTAGCCCCACCCTCTAAGACATAACCACAACTTCTGTTAACAATGTCACTTTTTTAGCCATATTTGTAAAACTTATTTGAGAGTTGAACTCAGCCTAACCAAAGGTCAGATAATGCTCTACTCATAGTACCAGCTGGTGCTGAAATTTGGAACTTGGCAACTGGCTCTGCAGAGGCATTGTGGTGGCAATGTGCAGCCTCTGGGCTACATGTAGCTCATGGCCATGCAGCACTGTCCTGCAAGGAAAGCATAATGGAATTTGCCACTTTAATTTGTCTCCATATTACTTTCAATTTTAACTTCAAATAATCTTTTATGAAAAACTGTAGATTTTAATATACTTCCGCTTTAGAAGAGCTTCTCAATTGGTTTTAAAATTAGCCATTGCATTTTCAAAGCGCTTGTAATACTCTCATTCTGTCCTGTAAATCTCCAATTACCTTCAATAAAGAATTACCTTTGATGTGGTAATTCAGTTGTGATAGACTAGAATAAGAATTTAAATAAAAATATTTTTTCAAATTAAAGGTTTCAGACTTTTGAAAATAACAGCTTTTAAGCAGGAACTAAGCATAAAATAGAGCTTTTCAGTATTATTGGGATTTACTAAATATGAATGTACAGTGCCTTAATAAAGTATTCATGCCGCCCTTAAACGTTTTTCCACATTTCAGGCTTCAAACATAAGGATATAATATTTAAATTTATTTTTTTTTATACTCTTGCAGATTCAACAACAACTTTTTCCTCACTGCCGTCAGACAACTGAACTGTTGAAAAAAAATCTAAATCAAGTCACAGACTCTGCATCACACTGATAACAACAAACCAAAAAGAACCAAACTTAAAAAAAGATGCTCTGAACTTCCATATCAAAGGGTTTTAAACCATGATGTTTTGTCTCATACTGTTTACATTTGATCACTGTTGCAATTTATGGAATGGAAATGTTAATTTCACTGCTAAGCTGCTGCTCATTTACTGTCTGAAAGCTGTACAAAGCGAAATGTTGTTTTGTATTCAGTCTATATATACAAAATGACAATATAAGTTGTCTGACTCTAAGTCGGATTTATTGGACGATTTAAACTGTTTTGACAGAATAAAAACTGAAAACTATGAGTTCAAAAGGATTTAGGCCCTTGACTTAATAGCGCCACCTTATGCTGTGATTACAGCTGCAAGTCACTTGGGGTGTATCTATTTTAGTTTTGCACATCAAGAGACTGACATTTCATCATATTCTTCCTTGCAAAAAAACATTACACTGTAGATGTTTCCATATGTTTGGGATAGGGCTGGGCGATATAGAAAAAAAGCTTATCGATAAAAAAAAATGCATATTGATCGATATCGATAATTATTGAAAAGATTTGAAACCATATTTTATGTGCAGCTCTGCCTGGACTTTTTATAATATTGCTAAATGATTTAATTTTAATAAAAAACACAAACACAGACTCTAATTAAATCTTTATTTAATCAACTTCTTTAACCATAACAATTGATTTAAAGAAAAATAACTTAAGAGGCCTGAGTTATGTTATTAAATACTGACAAAGAATAAACTAAAGTGACCAGAAAAGTGACCAAAATAAATATAACAAATAAATAAATGCCCCCCCACCGCCGCCGCCGCCCCCGCCCCCGTTTCCTGCTTTAACCTGAGTTATTACTTTGACGTTTCTGGCCCCTCAGCATTTTTATCTCAATTGTTAGAACTACGTGGGAAACTGCCCAGAACTGAAAATATATATACATTTTCCGAAGATTCCTCGGAGGAGAGCCGCGCCGGGGCCTACACAGCTCTCACTCCTGCGGCTGTGAGCGGCTGAGATGATAAAAAAAAAAAAAAAAGTTGGTTGTGTTATCAGACTGGTTTTCACTGGTTCCCGACACATTTTCCAGATGACTGTGGTTTGTTTTTGGTCCGACTTGCCATGACCGAAATACTGCCAGACTGCCGAACTACAGAAACCTTTCTTTGAAACAATTTCCTCCGCCTCTCCTTGCTGCACATCTTCATGTGCTCTGTGTTGTGGTTTGAGAGGGCGGCGCTTGGTGACGGCATGCCTGGGTCCGCGATTGTGATTGGTTGGGAGGAAGCAGTGACTAGCATAAACCTACATGCTAGGCTACAATGAGAAGGAAGGAAAACTGCGTTTCTTTTTTATCGAACTTTTATCGACCCTCTTTTTTTCTATTGCGCCACACGTCTATCGATCGATATATATCGTTATTGAATTATCGCCCAGCCCTAGTTTGGGATCATTGTCTTATTGGAAGATAAATCTCCATCGTAATCTCAGGTCTTTTGCAGACTCCAGCAGGTTTACTTGCCAAATTATCCTGTATTTGGCTCCACCCATCTTCCCAATAGTTTTAACCATCTTCCCTGCTGAAGAAAAGAAGGGCCAAAACATTACACTGCCACCACCATGTTTGACAGTGGGGATGGTGTGTTCAGGTTGATGAGCTGTGTTGCATTCATGCAAAACATAACCTTCTGTAAAGTTTGATTTTGGCTTCATCTTCTTCCATATGTTAGATGTGTCTCCAAGGTGGCTTGTGGCAAACTTTAAAGGAGACTTTCTATGGATATTTTTAAGAAATGGCTTTCTTCCATAAAGGACGGGTTTTTGAATTATACAACTAATTGCTTTCCTATGTGCAGATTTTCCAGGCTCAGCATTAGATTAGATTTCTGCAGTTCATCCAGAGTGATCATTGCAATTACAGTCCTCTTTAGGATGTTAAAACTTGGGAAACTTTCATGTATCCAAAGCTCTAAACTTCTCTACAGTAGTCTCAGACTTATCTGGTGTGTTCTTGAGTCCTTTTAGCACAATGCCAAAATTGCTGTAAATGTGTTTTTTTAGTTCATAAAAGTGAATCTAGTCAAATAAAAGTATGAACTGTCATTTTAGGGCTACTTCTGCCTATGACATAGCCTTTGGTCATTGACATTTGCGCTTAATAATAATCAACTGTGCAGGGAGCAGTTCATAAAGCTAACAGTGTGAAAAGCACATAGGTTATAAAATTAACCGCTACTTTTATAAACATGTTACACACACATTGTGACAGATGTGCAATAGGTTTTTGGAAAGGTATGACGCTTGAGTTTCCATGGACACCAGCCTGGGTATAAAGTGTTGTAAAACCTAAAGTACTTGTGAAAACTTTATTGGTAAAGTCTGCCTCTTGGAAGGATTTTGATAAAAAAAAAAAAAAAAAAAAAAAAGGTTTTTAAAGAGGATATAAAGTGGGCATCGTCCTATGGGCTCTGTACAGGGAACACTGTATTTATAATCAGTGGTAATGAAAATGTCTGATAGCACTAACATAATTTAACAAAGATATGTACTTCAGGACCACTCTGATTTGACTTGTTGACACCGAGTTAATCTGTGGCTATTTCTTTTTATTTCTTTGTTACATCCAACAGCAATATCAAGATGATGAAAAACAATGTCAGTCTGAACATTTGCATCCCATACCACTGGAACAGTGTGGGTCACCGAGTTTTCCAGTACCTATTTGAGACCATCATGGGCTGCTTGGTTCCCTTCTCCCTCATCAGCACCTGTTACTCATCCGTCATATGCAGACTGCAAAGTGCAAAGTTTCAGCGCAGAGGACAAGGCAGTCGTCTGATCTTGCTGATCATCATTACCTTTGCTATATTCTGGCTGCCCTATCACGTCATCAACATCATCGAGGTGATTGTGGATGCTTTCATCCGACATCAACTATCTATCTATCTATCTATCTATCTATCTATCTATCTATCTATCTATCTATCTATCTATCTATCATCTATCTATCTATCTATCTATCTATCTATCTATCTATCTATCTATCTATCTATCTATCTATCTATCTATCTATCTATCTATCTATCTATCTATCTATCTAAGCAATCAAACTTAGAGGAATTGTATTTTTTTCTTATCAATCATGCTATCAGGCTTACTTTGCATTTAAAAGACGCAAAATAAATGAATGCAAGTAAAACTAGAAAATATCATCACGGAGACCATGCACACAAGTTGCTTTAGGATAATAATCCATAGCGTACTTTTCATATCTTCCTTTAAATAGGCTTAGCATTTTCTATGTTATCAATTTTGACCTAAATGCTAGCCTTAGTACAGTAGTTGTGAGCCTTAAAGGAATACTATGCAACATTTTTCAGTTAATTAATGTGTTCCATAACAATTTGGATGATTAAATGAGTCATTTCAGGTCGAACAAAGGTTTTCTCGGCCGCCCTGGTGGTCTGTGGGCGAAATACCTTACTTGCAATTGCAGTAGCCCTTGGCCTGCACCCGCAGGCTCAGAAGTGTCGTGCATCACGAGAGTTGGTCTTGCTTTACTTTAGAACTGCTACACGCCCCCAGTGAAAGGCATGCTCGTTGCTAGCGCAGTGGCGATATTTGTGCAGTTATCGTGGCGGAACCAGCGAGAAAATAGCGAAAGCCCATGTCAGAGCAGGCAAGAAAGAGGAAAAGGGCTCTCTACCACAGTAGACATGGTGATTCGTTGTCTGCTAAGCTCAAAACAACTGCGCCTGGCTTGACGGAGAAACCAGGAGAACAGCTGAGCATATTTACGACAGTGCACTTTTACTTTCGCCCTCTGGGGGGAGCCTCGCTGGAAAATCAACACCGGTTGCATAGTATTCCTTTAAGTACTGTACTTTATAGGTAGTTCAGCTCCTCTGATTGTATCCCTGCATTAATACTTCCCTTAATGTAGGAAAAAAGCTTTTTAAAGTATTTAGGCTGACATTTTTAACTTCCTTACAGAACCCCAATTCAAAGACATCCAAAATATCAGTAATTCCTCATCTCTTTCTGCTCTCCTAGGTGGCCTGTTTATTCAAAAGCAATGATTCAGGACCCAGCTGCACTCCAAGTGCCCGGCCAAACGTCACAGCCTTCGCCTACTTCAGCAGTGCGGTCAACCCCATTCTCTACGTTTTTGCCGGCAGCTCGCACATCCGCCAAGCGGGACTCAGCTTCATGGGGAGGCTCTTCGAGGCCACCAACTCTGAGTCCAGAACCACGTCCACTTTCACCCGCAGTGGCCGCAGCGGCTCTTCACCAGACGAGAGCTCTGTCCTGCACACGCTGTCGATTAAAATTGGGAGACCTTTTAAAGGAAAGAGCAATGAGAGAAGCTGCAGTGTGGCGGGGAAAGAGGCCAACGAGCCAGAGCTCAAAACTCTTGCCACTGTGGAACAGGTAGAATAGCATTAATGCTGTTTTAATGTAACACAAAGAGGATAATTGATTTTTTTTATTTCAATTTTCAACAGTGAGCTTCGTTGTTTTAGGCTAAAACCAGGGGGAGAGGTTGCCTTGATGTCCTGAAACAGATGAAATTATGATATAACTCAATGAAACCCTCTTAACAACAGGAATGCTGTAAAGGCATTTTTGTGCTTCAGAAATAGGACCTCATTTTAACTTCACAAAGATAACAGAATAATGTATTTTTATTTTATATTTTAAAAAAGGTATTTTAACTGTTCATATAAGAGCAGAATTATTTTACTTTTTAAAAAAAATCTTTATCCCAAAAACTTAGATATTTATTGACGACTCTTGTAATTTGGATATTTATCTTTTTTTTATTGAAATATGTGAAATTTGAGTTCATCTGTAATTTTTTTTATTTGTTTATTTGTTTGTTAGTTTTTAAATACACCTGAGAAGAAATGAAAAGGTAGATGTGTTATCGATTCTAAATACATTTTAATAATAAACCTTTTACAAGATTTTGGAGGAATATTGTGGGGGTTTTATTTATAAGAAGATTTTTTTACAAGGTTCAAGTTGTAATACTGTTGGTCATTTAGACAAAATGTACTATTCTTGCTCAAGCAATGTTCTGTAGCACTAACAGAACATTGCAAAAGAAACATTTCACCAAGCATCCTTCCTCTAATAGTTTACTCCCTTCCCTCTGTTTCTCAACACTTCTAAAGTGATTATTTTATAGATACCAGCGGTAAACGCCATTGGGCTTTATAGCTTCTGTGTAAATGCAGTAACATCTGGACATAGAAACAAAAATGGGACAACTTTACAGGAAATATTAGTCACATTGATGGAGCAGTATTACAAACCACTCGCATCAAGAAGTCACAATAAGGTAGAGAGACCATCAGTCATGCTTTCCAATGAATAACAAAGTGAATTTGGTACTTGTTCAGACATACACCTTAGCAGCTGAAAACAGCAAACTATACGACCAAGAAAACACCAGTTTGTTTTATATTGTATACTGTATGTAGTCTGAAATCTGCATGGGCAGCCTTTAGCTGTTGATTTAACTACTGTCAGAGAAAACATCTAATTTGTTTCGCTTGTTTTTAATTTCACAATCTGGGCAACTATTGACTGTGGATTCCAAAATTCCTGTGAACTTTTCCTATCTTACTGTAGCTCTGGATCTCTGAGGCTCTTCTCATGTTAACATGGGCCTTTTATCATCCCTTTAGATTAAGTCTCTTGTGCCTAAATATTCATTTTAGATGGAAGGCCATGTTTTTTTTTTGTCAATTTCTTTATATTTGTAAATGATGGATTAAACAGAGCTTTTTGAGCTGACCAGAGCTTGGTGTAGGTTATCATAAACTAACCCAGGTTTATCCCTGTCCTGTCTTCTCTATTCATCCATCTTCTTTAGGCTCTAATTCTATCACTGAGAATAAAATCTAAAATATCATAACATATTTGGTGTTGGGTCTATATCCAAAATCCATTTATGAAATGTATGGTTTTAACGTGAAACATATGATAATGATAATGAAGTTTAGATATATTTTAATAAGGAACAGCTATCTTTAAATTTCTTATATTCAAAAGTAGGCTAAAGTTCTAGTGACAGGAGCGTTATGGTAAGTTGCACAAGATTTTAAAAGATTGCCATGGTTACGTTACATTGATATGTTTGCATATGATGTGATGCGAAACATATCAATGTAATGATAGGATATCACAAGGCATCAGTCTTGTTTCCCTCAGTGTGGTGTCCTGCAAGCTATGGAAACAAAACATGTTTATATACTGGTTGACTAACAGGATTATTTGGATTATTCAAGATTATTGCTGTCCTACAAAACATATGTATGTTCATATCCAGACAACAGAAAAGTGTGGTGCTAAAAGTCTGGATCATAGCGTGCTGATCAGATGACTGACATGGCCTACAGCAGGGCTCGTAAAGCCACAAAAAAGGGAACTGAATGGGCAAAGCACAAAATTTGTTTATTGATTAGTTCTTCAATAACAACACATGTTTTATGTACAGAGACATCAGGACTGTCAAGAATTATAACACCAGTCTCACACCGAATATTAATCGCTGCAAAAATCAAAATATATAAAATCTATGCAAACACAGCTACAGTGCTGTTGCGCTAAGTGTGGCCATGCAGGTCAATTAAATGATTCTGAAGAATTAAAGTTTGGCCACATTTCCATGCCGAGCATCAGGTAATATACAAACCAAACAGAAAAAGTCAAGAACCAGGCTGGAAAATCGAATGAAAACAAGACCTTAAAATAGAAATAGTGGAGAGAAGACAATGAAATGGAATAGTATTAACAAGTTTTGCACAAGAACTTTCAGAAATAATGTGAACCCATGTGAACTTCTTTCCTCTTGAGCACCGTCTCTATAGCCAGAGCAAGTGATTTTTTGCAGCATGCACACACCACAACTCTATGCCAACTTAGTTAGCCTAAGAGTAGTGATAAGCAGAACAACCATTACCATGCTTCTTCTGACACCTCAAACAACGAACAAACAAACTCTAAAAGCCTGACCATCCTCCAATGCTGTCCTATTGGTGAAGCAACAGCTTGGTGTGGTTGAAGGCTAGCTGATAACATCTGAATAAGCTGATCTACAGCAAATCTACAATCCAGTCAATCCTCCCATAAGCCTCATATCAAACATTAGGGGGAAAAAAAATTGCATTGCTAATAAACACAAACAGGGATAAAGCATCAAGGTAAAACATAAATGAATTTATCTATATATTTATTTACTTAGGCTGTAGAGAAAAATAAGGGAATTAAGAGAGTACTTGTTTGAAGTGGGGATAGCCAAGAAAGATACAGTGCTGTGAAAACCTGTTTGACCTCTTCCTAAGTTCTATTTTTTGTCACGATTAGGTTAGAATATCATAATGAACATTAGTCAAAGTAAACAGCTTTCAGTTTCTAATTTAAGCTATTTTTTATTCTTAAACAGTTTTTCTTAATTACTGTATAATGTATTTTAATCTGAAAAACTCACACAAAAAGAAAAAGACAATAAGAAGAATTTTATTAAAGGGGTCATAGAATGATTCTATAGGGTATTTGGTGCTGGTCCTTAAGGTCTCTGAATAGAGTGTGTAACATTGGTTTGGCTGAAAATGGCATATTTGCTGTTCTATAAGGCCTAATGCAAGCCTGGTTAAAAGCCCTAGAATGAAACGACAGGTTTTTGTTTCTTTTATGGTATGCTAATAATTATTTAGATGAGCTGTGTGCTGATTGGTTGGTTTAAAACAAGTGAAGCTGCTGAGCAAAGGCGCATCATAGCAACAAGCCCTCACTTACTGAAACACCAAATTGTTGATCTATATTGTAGGGTGACCAGACATCCTGGACATGTCCTTCTTTTCATACCTAAAAAAAAATCAGAGGGGAATTTCAAAATTGTCCAGGATTTTGGTCGATTCCGGGGCTGGTTCAGGAACCCCGGCGGACGGGGGCAGGGAGCCAGCGGTGGACGGAGCGACCAAACCCGAACTGGTGACGGTAACCTGGACATTGGTCGCCCTGTGCTTCGGGGGGAAGCACAGCATATCGAAGAAGATAGATGTCCAGCTTGATAAACACAGGTTTGCATAAACCTGTCCATGATGAGCAAGCATGAAGCAACAGTAGAAAGGAAAAACTCCCCTTTGGGAAGAAACATCTGGCAGAACCAAGCTCAACATGGCAGTATTCTGTTGGACTGGTTGAGATGTGACGGGGAATACAGTAAAAGTCCGGGAGGGAAGAGACTGAAGAAGCACCATGGAAAAGCCAGATTTAGCTTAGCTACAATGGTGGAGAAGGGGATGGAGGTGGGTTGAATTGGGGTCATCAAAATCAGCAACCACTGCTTTGTGCTTGGCTGAGTAGCAGGCTGAGTCGTGGATTTAAAGACTTTTAAAGATGAGCTCTGGATGTTGATAAGGCTTCGTGGAGGTGTACTTCAAAGCTGATCTTTTATGCTATTCCACATTGTTCAAAGAACAATAGTGGTGAACCCTATTGCAGGAGCTTTCTGCATCGTGTTCTCTTATGGGCTGTACCATAAACTTAAATAAATTGTTTAAAAGGGTATCAATTTCAAATGCAGTTCATTTTATTTAATATTTGTCCCTTTAACAACTAATAAAAAGTATTTTTTGACCAACAATAATATGAATTTCTTTTATAATGAACTATTTGGAGTTGGTGGACTGGGGACTTTTTTTCCACATTTGAAGGTGATTTCAGGGATAACAACAAAGAATAATGAAAATGTAGTTTCAAATGCAGTCATGGCAAAAGAATACACTCCTGTTAAATATGCATTTATATGCTCCAAAATAATTTTAATTAAACCTCATGAACAAATCTTCACTCCACGGATAAAACCAAGTCTTGAGACAAGACAAATGTTAGAAAACTAAGTACATACACAAAATCTTTGAAAAAAAACTTTTTGAAATAATTGATCCATAAAGGTAAAAGAAAAACAGCAAACATGCTCATTAGTTTTTTGACATATGTGTCCATATAATAATGCAAAGCTAGAATATAAATAGCAATTGACTCATGACGAATGAATCTATAAAGGGTGTAAAGCAGGTGTTTTTCTGACGGTCAACGGAAAAACTTGCAATGTTGCAAAGTTCTGTCAATGACAACAGGATGCTGTTTATGATTATGAAGTTAACTAAATAGGCCAAAGCAATTGTGCAACAAGCAGAAAAATAGCTGAAGTGGTTTTGCTTGACCTCATTTACTAAAATTCACAGGAAGTTGCTGATTGAACTTTAGATGAAAAAAGATGAAGTGATAATCTATGTGGAATTTTTTTTTTAGTCCTTCATGTTGCTTTTCTTAGTTCCTGTTATGTTTGAAACTTTCACAATTTTAATATTTTTCTATATAGTGAAAGTTGACCAGAGGTTCTTAATCCAACTTTGAAATTTATTTTTTTAAATATACATATGATCTAATACACTCCAACTATTTAAGTATTGCTCATTACTTAAACACATAACAGTATCTATAGGAGGACACCTTAAATAGGCTGGTTTTAAATTCTGTTAGTTTGTACAATAAAAAAAATTAAACATTAAATATAAACATTTCTTTCAACAACACTTTGCGTCATAGCCATAGAGATCAGTGGTTATAGCCTGCAACACACATTTCAGCGCGACGCGGCGCCAGACAAAGAAAGCGACGGGGTGTCTCGGACCATGGATTCCAAAGGGAAAAATGGAAGTTAGTTGATGAGAACAGAGGATTCAAAGAACAATTGCTTTCATTATCATTGCAGGATTGCCTGCATTTTCGCTTTTTAAGAGGTTGTCAAAAAAATAACAGTCGTTTTGAGAGGCATTTCCAGGGAAGGCATGCTAAATATGCAGCTGATCATAAAGTTGGGAGTGAGAGAAAAAGTGAAATTGCAGATCTTATGGATAAATTAGTGGACACAAAGATAGATTTAAGAAGTGGATTGCATCTCCAAACTTCACTACTGCTGCTAATTTTGTTGCAAGCATGTAAAACCGTTTACAGATCTGAGTGTTACTAGGTAAGTGATTGTTCCAGGAAAAAATGACAGGGAATAAGCTCTGAGGCGTCAATGCCCTTAGGGGAAAGCAACCTCAATTACAAGACCAGGACTTTAAATATGTGCCCTTAGGTAAGGCAAGGCAAATTTATTTGTATAGCACAATTCAGTACAAAGACAATGCAAAGTGCTTTACATTATTAAAATACAGGAAAATAAAACAGAATCAAAGCAAGTAGGAAATTAAAGAAAAAATAATAATAATAAAAAAAACAGAAACAGAAACAAAAAGGAATATTAAAAACAGTTCGACTAAAGAAAATATGTTTTAGTTGAACTGTTTAACTAGAACAGTCAAAGGCAATCCTAAACAAATGTGTTTTTAGTCTTGATTTAAAGGAACTCAGGCTTTCCGTACTTTTACAGTTTTTTGGAAGTTTGTTCCAGATAAGTGGAGCATAGGAAGCTGCTTCTCCATGTTTAGTTCTGGTTCTAGGTATGCAGAGCAGGCTGGAGCCAGAAGACCTGAGTGGTCTGGAGGGTTGATACACTGATAGCAAGTCTGTGATGTATTTAGGTGCTAAGCCATTCACAGATTTATAGACTAACAGAAGTATTTTAAAGTCTATTCTCTGAGATACAGAGAGCCAGTGTAAAGACTTTAAAACTGGGGTGATGTGCTCTACTTTCTTGGTCTTAGTGAGAACAAGGGCAGGTGTTTGTATCAACACGGGTGTTGTGTACCACCAAGCGAATATATCTTTATAATGCATCCTTTGTGGTACTCTAGCTTCCATCCTTTTTTTCTACTGCAGCTTCTGAAAGTTCCTGTGTATCGTTGAAGGATTGGAGAACATGTTTAGAGGATTGTCTTTATTCTCTAGTGAGAATTAACTCATCTTTGCAGAAATTTTATCTATTGAAGATCTTCATTAGATTTATCCATATAACTGACTGAGGAAGACATGCTGCCAATCCCAGAGCTGGTCTCAGACTGTCTCAGTGTGTGTGATAGCCAGTCAGCAACAATGTTATAACTTTTTAGATGATTAATCTCTGAAAAGCTCCCAGATTCTAAGGCATCATCTCCACTCACTGAAACAGAACAAAATAAACTGTTATTCTAAAAACAAACAAACATGGATTTAGTCTAGAATTTGTAGAAACTCAGAGATTAATGCTTCATCATTTCAAACCTACTGTCTGGAATAGCTCTTCCATCCTTGCTTTCTGCCATCTCCATAGATGGCTCTGTTTGTTCCTCTGGTTCCTTTGCTAAAGCTTTTGTCATTTTGTGAATCAGGTCCTGCTCCCGTCTGTTCCACTCCTCTTCTGTCAACATGCGTTGTTTTGCTTGCCAAGGTAGAAACTGAAATGTCCTCCTTTTTACTTCAGTTGTGAAGCATCCTTTGTTTTGTTTTACCATACTGATGATTTTTTCGAACAGTTCTTTGACTTGAATGGGATCAAAATAAAAACTTTTGAGTATGTGGAATCTGTTCCCACACTTCTCCAGAAGCTCCTGGAGCTCTTTGCCCTCACTGGCAATGTAGCGCTCTACAGGGAGGCCATTGAGCCAATTGCCCCAGGTAAACAGCACCATGCAGTGTCTCCAAACTCTCTCTGTTAATGGCTTTAGGACCTCCACCAGAGCTATGAGATCTTTCTGGGTGAAAGCTCTGGAGACTGGAACAACCAAGAGAAAAACATGAGGTCCAGGAGAACACATGGAGACACTGCGGAGAACTTCCTCCTTAATCCAGTCAGGTGGTGCAGGGTCAGCGAACCAGCCTGGTGTTTCAACCACTGAGACATTTACTCCATGAAAGTCTCCTTCATGTTTCACACATGCTGCATATGTTCTCTGATCTTCATAGTTCTGAAAAAAAAAAAAAACAACAACAAAAAAAAAACAGGAAATACATGTTGGACGTGCTGAACTCAGGTGAATATCAATTCTGGATGTTAGAATGTATGAAATGTTTTTTTTTTTTTCTTAATCAGCATGACAGTTCACCTTTTCCAACCAAGTTCTCACAGAGGTTCTATTGAATTCCTCCTTGAAAAGGATCAGATTTCCTGCATTACTCTTTCCTGAACATTTCTGTCCAACCAGAACAATCCTGATGTCAGTCAGTGGATCTCTCTCAGCTGGAAAACACACAAAAGAGCCGAATTGTTTTTGATTCTGAAACATTCATTTTACATGGTTGTATCATAAACCTTTATAAAACCTGCTTACTTTCATAAATCTCTTTCAGAATTCTTGACTGTGTATCATTAATCCTCATCAACTGTTTGGCTTTTTTGTCTCCAGCCTTAATTTTGGCATCTATCTGTGATGCCTGGTGCAGGTCCACTTCGTAATGAGGAGTTTCATTTCCTGCCCACATCTCTTCAATCTTCTCAATGAGCTCCTTTACCTGCATCTTATCACTATGGTCCTTGTTGTTCAGCACATGATACCGATTCCCACACTTGTTCACCAACCACTGCAGACCTTCATCACTCTCTATATACTGCTCCATAGTCTTCACTCCTAACCAGTCGCCAACAGTAAACAGGACAAGTGTGTGTCTCCAGATTTCTTCTCTAAACAGCCCCATGTGTTCCTGCACAGATCTCAGATATGATGAATCAAAGTTGATTATTGGAGGAATAAGCAGCAGCACAGCATGTGGTCCTGGAAAACACAGATTCACACTGTTCTCTATTTCTAGTTTGTCTATTTCACTTGTGTCCTGAAGGGTGTGGATGTCAAGCCATCCAGGAGAATCAACCACTCTGAGGACCTGTTTTTCAACCAAATTGTGCCTTATTTCACTGCGTGTTGTCAATCTTCCAACTCTTTCATTAACACCAAATGCATTTTTTCCTAGAATAGTGTTTCCTGTTGAGCTCTTGCCGGCAAAGGATTCACCAATCATCAATATTCTCAAATGGCTAGGAGGGCCTTTTCCACCTAAATCAGAAAAACAAGGCAATAATTTATCTATTTAGCATAAGGTGGAGAAAAACATCAAACATTTATCAAAGCAAAAACAGTTCTTAGTTTATTGGTGTTTATAAGAATATAATTTACATATAATAGAATATAATTTGTGAACCTTTGGATTTTTAAAAATTGCTCCTATGTCTTTGTTATTTTACGAACAATTACATTTTAGCAAAAACATTTCCAAAAATTGATTATTAAATCAAGTGTTTCGTATGTCAAACTCCCAGATTTGTTTGCAGAAAAAATAAGCACTTTAGCCTGATAAAAATAAACATGTATTACCTTCAATCAGTAGCCTCAGGTTTCTTCTTTGTTTCTGAACTTCATCAAACCTTTTTGAGGCTTTTTGAACGAAATCTTTCAGTCTCTCTCTCAGAGCATTTCCATGATATTCATCAACAGAACAGTGTCTGCCCATGTTTTGTTCAATTATTGCCTCAATTTTCTCTAAAAGCATCTCTACTTGATCTCTATCTTCTCTTTTGCTGATGTTGAGGACATGTCTTCTGTTTCCACATTGCTGAAGGATCCACTGCAAAACTTGGCTTTCTCTGATTTTTGATTCTATGGTTTCATCACTACATGGAGTAACAGCAGTGAACAGCATGATAATGTGACTGAAAACATCTGTATTAAAAAGTTCCAGGTGCTCCTTTAGAGATTGTTCGACTAGATGAAATATATGTAAACCCACCGGAATGACAAGAAGAAAGACATGAGGTCCTGGTGGACACAGATAGATGCTCCTCTGGATTTCTATTTGATCCAGTTTGGGAGTTTCTTCTCTTGAATAAATCCAACACCAGCCTGGAGTATCAACCACTGTTACTCGTCTGCCGAATACTTCCTGCTGTCCCACTTCACTTTCAGCTGTCCTTCTGCTGGTGTCAAAAACATTGTCACCAAGGATTATATTTCCAGCTGAGCTTTTACCACTGGAAAGGTCACCGAATCTTCCTCCTATCAGCACAATCCTTAGTTCTGTCACAGGTTGACTCAGGGCTGTTAAGAAGAGTAGGGCTTTATTTTTCACACCGTTTACAAGCATCTACATTGTTTAGCCCATTACAGCACATGCTTTCTAATTTAACTATACATTTCTATTAGAACAATGATGAAAATAATTATTAGCAATGTTTCCACAAATAAACCTACTATTGTAGGGAAATCTGGAAAAGCAGAGGGAGCCATTTTGTTTTGAATCTCGAGTACAGTAGAGTCAAATTCTCTGAATTCAACATATTTGTCCACTAAAATAAGAGTTTATCAGATTATAATTCGTAAGGGATAAAGAGAAAGTTTCAGTAAATGATCTCTGACCTGGGTTGGAAATATCAGCTGAAGAAGCCATTTTATTGGATTCGCTCTGTCGACTTTCCTCTTGGCGCCTGTTCCAACACAATAATTTCTAAATGAAAGTAAATGGAGCAGAAGGAATGTTATTGGGATCAAAGGTAGGATGGCATAGTCAAACAAGGTCAGACACTGCCATCTGCTGGATAACTAATATAAGTAAAACTATTGAGTTAAACGGTTGATTTTAGAAAAATATAATTATATTATATTTCTATTATTATATATTATATTCAAATTCTTGACAGAAAATATAATGTTCACAGCATATGTGACGCATCAAGATCCATTTGGTATCAACCTCAAACTAGAGAGAAACAACCCTGATAACCTTTGACTCCCTGAATTAAAAAAGCTAAAAGCTTTGTCATTAATTGGCTGCTGCTCATTGCAGTTATTCAGTGGCAGCCTTAATTTGGTCTCCTATAAATATGAATCTGCCTTAGGAGGTGTAAGAATACAAGTTAGATGTTTTTTAATTCTAAAGAAGTAAATTATAAATTATATTATTGTTATTATATTTTTTTTTTCTTGAAAAGCCTGGTTTTTCTCTTTCAACACATAATGTATTCTCGTTCAGTAGTTGCTACAAAAAAAAGGGGAGATCCTGAAAGTTCAGGAAATTGGCAAGAATGTATATTCCTCTGCAGCCTGTCCCAGGTGGACAACAAAATTTGTTTCTTTTGTTTATTCTTTTCAGTAGTAAGTCAGTGCAGAGCAAAATTGCCCCCTTCAGCTGGAACTGATGCAGTGCACCTGTCAGCTCCCATAGGTGCGCCCAGCTCGTGACCTGACCTGTGTTAAGGAAACTAACAATGGCTTCAATCATCCAGGAAGAGATACCACATAGGCACACATTTCCTCTTTGGACTGGCAATAGTCTCCACCTGCTGCAAACACCACATGGCGTGCTGAGAAAAAAAAATAGGAATAAGCATTTTAAAATTAGTGAAAAGACTGCACAACTTTAGAATGTTGCCTCTTGAAATGTTTACAGAACAAACTGTTTACAGCGAATACATTCTTTATCCAACTTTACTCAATATCAGCAAAAAAAAGAAAAAGACTTGAAGCCCCAATGCTCAATCCTAAACAATTTCTCAAACTTGTTTTATTCGTGCCCTGCTTATTTATATATGTCTGTTTCTGTTTTGAAGTCTGATAATAAAGGCAGGAGACAGAGAGGTCCCACCAAAGTTGACCAGGGACATTAAGGGAGTATAATTCTTCATCTGGGTCCACTCTCCGCTTCTGCAGAAAAGTAACTGTGTTTGGGTTGCTTAATTTCTAGGACAATAAGGGGATATTATCATTTAACCCTAACAGTCAGATTTGTGGGGCCTGTCATGGTGGCATCCCTGAACCTGGTGGTGGACACCGTCAGTAAGGGAAGATGTCAAGCTGAAGTCTCATCAAGCCTCGCTGGCTTGTTAGACTCCTGAAGTAGAAAGCATGTATCACGAGACCAATCGTGTCACTGCCCGGGTGGTTTCCAAGACAAAAACTTAGGCCTGGGTGGAGTTTGGAGAAGCCATGGTGAAAGAGTATTGGCTGGGCTCAAAGTGATACTGGTGGAAGATGAGCTCGGGTGCTTGGGGATGGATTTGTTCATAAACCCAGGTGAGAAGGCTTCCGAGGAGGATGAGATCTGGCCTGAGAGTTCTCAATGTTGTAGGGCTGTCTTGGCGGACACGCCTCTGCAATATCACATGGAGGTCTGGGACAGTGCCCCTGGCTTAGCATACCAGGCTGGTAGTTCCCCTGCATAAGGAAGGGGATGGGATGGTGTATTCTAATAAGGATCACACTTCTTATCCTATAACTTGTGTTCAGGAGGAGCAGTGCTGTTTTCCTCCTGGCCGTGGAACTTCTATATTCACTGCAGGGTTTTTGAGGATTCTTTCACAAATAGGTCTATATGTTTTCAACCATGTCCCACGTGTTTCCTGTGGGGGGCGCCTCGGAAATATGGCGACCTTTACTAAGGGCCATAAAGTCTCTATAAAAGCGAAACAGGAGTTTTTTTCCACATTAAGTTAGTTTTGTTTGCAGTGCATGTTGGACTCCGACAGGGCGGCCCTCTGTCCCTGTTCATAACCTCTTTGGAAATGATTTCTAGGCACAGCCAAGACCCAGGTGGGGTCTGGTTTGGGGACCAGCAGATCTCTTTCCTGATATGGTTTTGCTGGCTCCCTCCTGCCAATACCAACAACACGCACTGGGGTGGTGCACTGCTAAGTGTGAAGTGGCCAGGATGAGAATCAGCTCCTCCAAGTTCAAGGTAATTGTTCTTGACAGCTTGTCCCCTGCAGGTTGGAAGAGAGTTCCTTCCTCAAGTGGAGGAGTTGAAGTATCTTGTGGTCCTGTTTACCAGTGAGGGGAGAATGGAGCGGGAGTTTGATATATGGATTTGTGTGGATGCTGTTTTAGTGCAAATGCTGCACTGGTCTGTTGTGGTAAACAGAGAGCTGAACAATAAAGCAGAGCTCTCAATTTACCAGTTGGTCTATGTTCCTACCCTAACATATGATCATGAAATCTGGATCATGACCAAAAAAAAAAAGATCCTGAATACAAGCGGCTAAAATTAGCTTTCTCGAACAGGGTGGCTAAGAACTCCCTTAAAGAGTGAGTAAAGAGCTTGGTAATTTTTGGAGTTACTATGACCAAAGTTGCTTCTCTGCTAGATTGAAAGAAGTCATCTTTTTCGGATGCCTCCTGAAAACCTCCCAGAGGAGGTGTTCCAGGTATGCCCACCAGGAGGAGGTCCAGGGGATGACCCAGGACACGCTGGAGCTACTATGTTAGCTGGCTTAGGAATGCCTCAGGCTTCCCAGAGTGGAGATGAAGAAAGTGTCTGTAGAGAGGGAAGTCTGAGGCCTGCTGCTGAGACTGCTGCCCCTGCAACCCAGTCCTGGATGAAGAGGAACACGAGGAGTACAATTACCTCCAGTACAAGCAGCCTCTGGTGAGTGGCATTTTGCAAAGTCCAACTGGGGGCAAAAGGAGACAACGGCAGACAGTTAAGAACATAAACTTAGGTGTTCAACATATAGAAATTAACTAAGGACAACCTAACCATTTTGAATAAGGTATGAGAAAGGTATAGCATCTAAACAATAATCACTCTGTTTTTAGCTATAAGCTTTAAAGAAGAAGCCATTCAAAATGGCCCTTCTCCTGGGCGTGCTTTTTTTAAAACTCTGACTCCACCATTTCACTGAATTACAGGCTGAGAACAGGGGATGACACTTCTCTGTAGATCTCAATGTCCATAAATCATGACAGAAATAATATTTTAATACAAAGATTGATGTTTAAAAAGAGAATTGTAGGGGACCAGTCAAGGGCCCATCAAGGAAAGTTGGGGAATTCTAAATGGCTACTGCTGTATCAACAAGGAAAGTTTTAAACCTGTTTTAAGTTTTAATTTTCCTTAGACCTCCAGCTGTAGCATTTTGGTTCAGCTGAAGGCTTTTAACTGAAGTGTTTATAGACTTACTGACCATAAAGAATCATAATAGTACAGCATTGAAGTAACAATTGCAAGGCCTAGTTTCTCAGCACTGGACAAGATATTTCTAATTTTTGTAATATTCAGGAGGTGGAAAAAAGGAAAATCTAGACATGTTTGATAAGGGACTCAAATAACAAATAAACAAAAATAACACCTATAACACCAAGGTGCTGAGATAAATTTAATCTCATTCAAATGAAGTGAAAGACTAATCAGATTCTTTTTTACATCTTCGCTTTTGTCTACATTAGAAAGCAGAAAGTGAAGAGTCATCTAGGTAACCCTGGAAGTTGAGGAAGGTTTATCATTAACATGAACAAATTAAAATGTCAAACAAATGATATTTAAAACAGAGCGGTTATTTTCCCCTAATTCCAACATAATTTGAAAGTAGTTTTTCTAAACGATTATTGTGATAGACTATATCAAATGCAGACCTAACATCTAACAGAACAAGTACAGATACAAGTCCATTAGCTGAGGTAATAAGAATATCATTAGTGACTTTCACCAGAGTTGTTTCAGTGCTATGATGGGCTCTAAAACCTGATTGAAACTCTTTAAAATGTTCATTATGTCGTAAATGTTCACTTATGTAGAAATTAGTTTCTCAAGAATTTTAGATAAGAAGGGAAGATTAGATATAAGTCCATAATTGATCAGGTCATCTGGGTGAAGAGACGATTTCTTAAGTAAAGGTTAAGTAAAGCTACCATAAAAGGCTGTGGTACAAATCCTTGTAACAGGGATAGATTAATCACATTTAAATTGAGGAGGAAATATATGAGGGACAGAAAAAGCCATGAATCATTATGTCACACTTTCATACATATAATGTATTTCTCACATACACACTCTGCTTTCATAAACCCATGTCCTTCCACATATAAACATATATTCTATACTGTAATTTCCCTCTGGATTATTAAAGTATGTCTGCTTCTGATTCTGATATTCTCTTCCCCCACATATATTTGT